ACTAGGGTCAAGGTGTAAGACAGGGGCCCTGAAACGGTGAATTTGCTTGGCTTCATCCACCATGGCCTAAAACCAGTAACTTAGGGCCCTGTGGGATCTTATTCATTATCTGTCATTTCATAAAGACCTGTTCAGTATATCAATATTTAAATGCTTAGTAGTTGCTTTCCGAGGACAACATCCCTCTTTTATATGTGTAACTAAATTGTAACATTTCCCCCAACCCTTACCACAAACTCATTCTCTACACAAAAATTTTCAACCTACTACAAGCTATGAAAGTGGTTCTTTCTTTAAAAGATTGCCAGGATATTTTAAGTGTCGACATCTTTCTTGATCTTTTTCTGCCATTGTTTAGTATCAGCATTATTTTTACATACAAATTTAAAATATTAAACATACCTACCAAAATATAATATAATTTAAAAAAGTATCATACTATGTCAAACATGTAACGTCTAATAGTAACGTGTTTTCTGTTAATATGTTTTGTAATGTATGAAAACTACATAACGTAATACCTAGTCAAAGCAGGTTGTTTAGACCTTTTAATATTTTACAGTTGATTAGCTGAGGGTCCAAGAACCCGCCACCTTTTCTTTGGTCACCCACCAAAAGCATGATAAAGTGGATTAGAGTCTTGTGTAATATTTATTTTTTTGTTTTGAACTCTTTTGTGAAAATGAACGGAACCACACAATGCAGTTCAACACAAACAAATAAATATAGATATATATAGAGTATAAGCTTACATTGTTTTTACTTTTACATTTTTTTTTACATCATCCATTTTTGGAGCGTCAAGGCGGTAAAAGGAGTTTTATGTTAAAATCAGATTTTTTATTAACAATAGATGGGCATTTGCTTATGAATCACACTTTTTATTATCTCACTGAGCCCAATATGCGAGTGTACAATCCTGCTAATTACCAACAAATGTGAATACCTATGGATCCACATAGGTTATTACAAATCAATGCTTAGTTTTAGTACATTTTTGGTCCTGAGATCAGAAGGTTCATTGACGAAACTCAAATAGTTCCACTGTCTGTCTCCTTTCTGTTCCTCTTGTTAATCGTTTAAGAATGTTGATGGTAAGTTAAAATGTTTACTGTACACCCAGAAGTGAGTAACAGACACGCCTTATGTTAAAGTATTACAAAGTTCACACAAGCAAGAATCACCTTTGTCCATGTTAATGTGAGACCAGACACATGAATATGTACTGTTTTCCATCAAAACTATATACAAAGTTCAAGAGGGGTTATATCCCAAAGGTCATTGTTAGAATTCTTGAATGCTAAAAAGTGCTGTTGGATTTAACATACATATACTACTCATACCCTTTCCACTGACACATTTTGTGGCTTAGTAGTGATATATCCCCTGGCACAAGGTGTGAATATTTATAAAGGGTGTGAATTGTATCTATGTAATATCTGTAGTTTTAACACGATAACAGTTCATTAAATACAACATTTTTAGATTCACAACTCGTTTTTAATTCTGTGCAATATGTGTAATTACTGCACTAAAAATATGAAATGGGTGTAGTTGTCTAGGGTGAAAAAATACTAAAGTCGATCAAGTTCAGCCACAAAGCTCATTCTTTTAGGCTGTTGATCCAAAAGAAGGCAAATAAATTGCAGCCATTTACAATTATGCCACAAAAAGGGGGGTGAAGGGGAAGATTCCTTCTTGACTCCACAATCCGATTTCTCATTGGATCAACAACCTGTTTACATACATATCAATTATATCCTTGAATATTCTACTTTAAAAAAAAAAAAAATCCAAGCTTTTTTTTTCAATTTGTCTATAGAATCTGCTAACACAAACTTTTTAGGCAGAAAATTCTACATCGTTATTGTTATTACTGTAGAGAACCGTTTCCTCTGCTGTAAGCCAAACCGCCTTTCTTACAGTCTCAATGGGTGACAGCTTGTCTGTTTTATATTCCTCCTTACGAACAGGTTAGCACATAGTAGTTTGTATTGATCCTGAATATATTTATGTAGTGCTAACATATCTCCTCTGAGGCACCGTTTTTCTAAAGAAAACAATTCCAGTTTTTCTAGCCTTTTCTTGAAAACATATGAATGTTTGCCATCCTCCTTAGAAGTTTTGCTCACATGTGCACTTTTTCTAGTTCTGCAATATCCTTCTTTAATATTTGTGCCCAAAATTGCACCACATATTCAAGATGGGGTCTTCTCAATGATTTGTACATAGGCAAAATAATTATATTTTTATGTCGTGAAGTAAAACCCCTTTTTATATTCGAAAGCACCTATTAACTTTTGTACAGCAGACTGGCATTTCATTACATTGCCTAGTTTGTGATCAATAACTGTCCCCACGTTCTTTTCATTTAGTGTTATCCCTACTCAACCCATTTAGTGTATAAGTGGCTTGTGGGTTCCTTATTCTAAAATGCATGACTTTGCATTTATCTGTATTGAATCTCATGCCCAACTTGCCTGCCCAGTCGCACAATTTATCTAAATGTATCTGTAGAGAAGTTATATCGTGTTCAGACTGTATTTTCTTACATAGTTTTGTGTCATGTACAAATACAGCAAAATGACTTTCAATGTCCACTTCAGGATAATTAATAAATAGATTAAAGCGAAGTGGACCCAGGACACCACTTACCACATTTATCCGGTTACAACTACTCTCAGCACTCTATAGTTAAGATCAAGAACTCAATTGTTTGTCTAAACCAACTGATTTCAGTTTTACTTGTAACCTTTTGTGAGAACTGTATCAAATGCCTTAGCGAAATCCAAGTAGATCACATCTACTGGAACTTCTTGATCTATATTTCTGCTAACTTCTTCATAGAATGCAATTTAGTCAGTGTGGCATGACCTTTCTTTCATAAAACCATATTGATTCCTGCTAATGATATTTTTGTTCAAAATTATTGGCTATTATCCCTTGACAGCCCTTCAAATAGTTCCCAACCACAGATGTTATGCTCACAGGTCTGTAGTTCCTGGATTGAGATTTTGAACCCTTTTTAAATATAGGCACAGCATCTGCTGTTTTCCATGCATCTGGTACAATTCCTGAAAGAAAAATCCTAAAAAATGTAAAACAGTAGTATTGATATTTTTACACTAAGCTCCCTAAGCACACATGGGCGAACACCATCTAGCTCTGGAGTTTTGGTTACATTAATTTTATTTTTTAATTTCTGAAGCACCTTATCCTGGATAAATCAATCACCTGTTTGCTGTAATGCTTTTGTAACAGGGATTTGTAAATCTACAGCCACAGATTCTTCTTCCCTATATACTGAAGAAAAATACCGTATTTTTCCATGTTTTTTTCAAATGTTTTAATCTAAAATTGGGTGTCGTCTTATACACGGAATGTCACTGCAGGGGTTAAAAAATAACACTTGTGCACGAGCCTAAGTTAAGATAGCAAGGATAACACCCTACAAGTAGGGTGTATAGAGTCCAGGAGCTAGCTTGTGTAGAGAATTCGAGTTCAATAATTAAGATGAGTGTAATAGGTTAACAGATAAAAAAGTTATGAAGTGTTAAATATATGTAGAAATATGTAAAAATATGGATACTGTGTCTTTAAAATTGTATCTTAAAATATAAAGTGCAGCATATGTATGCGGTGTTGATATCCTTATCTCTGTAATAATACATGATAGATGATATCATCACCAAATAATATGCTTTGATAAATAAAGATAAAAATTACTAACTGTAGAAAAACAGTATATGGAACTGTCTTCTGCAATGCAATACAAATAGTGTATCGCTTAAACCACTTGAAAAAATTATGATGTAAAACTGGATAAATTAAAAAACAGTTTATTAAACATAGCTAAAAATAAAAGTCAGGAACAGTTCACAGGTATATTACCAGCATAGTAGAGATCAATAGCTGTAATAAACCTGAAGGTCCGGCTAGGATGGATGTGGATGCTGTTATTCAAACTAGTCCTCTGGATACCGGCTGCCTGTGAGGACGTTGTGCGTCTCAGTGTGTGTTCCAGCACAGACCTCACTCTGAGCGGCGGACACTGAAGACTGATTCAGTCCAGGGATGTCAAAGGTTTCTGTGTGCGATGATCTTCTGCTGGCTGTTAGCCCGTGTCTGTATCCTGCTTGATCTGATTGGTCTTACGCGTTTCGTGGGTGTAAGCCCCACTTCTTCAGAGACTTGATATAGTACAGTGTTCAAGTGGTCGTTTTTATACACATTTGGCTAATTGCCAATAAAACTACTCGTTACATTATAATTAGAGTTTGTAAAATCGTAAAATTGTAACATACATTTTGATACACTAACAGAAAGATTTGATGTTTAAAAGTAATGGTGAATAGAGTTGAGCAAACACGGACTGTAAAGTTTGGGTTCGTACCGAACATTACGTTTTTTGGACCCCGGACCCGAACACGGACATATCACTATGTTCTGGTTGGAGTTCGGTGTTAAGCGATTTAATGGCGCGTTTTGAAAGGCTGCAGGCAGCCAATCAACAAAGCGTTTGACTCGTGTGCCCTTAGAAGTCATCACAGCCATGCCTACTAATGGCATGGCTGTGACTGGCCAGTGCAGTATGTGACCCAGCCTCTATATATAAGCTGGAGTCACGTAGCGCTGCATGCACATGAGGTCTTATTAGTGTAGGGAGAGGATGCGGCTGCTGTGAGGGACAGCTTAGGAAAGAATTCTGCAAACTAGTACATTAGTGGGGTGCACTTCATATCTGAGAGTCAAACAGAAGCGTCAAATAGTGCACTTACAGCGCAGTTGTAAACATTCTAATTGTTTTGGTGCCAAACTGCCAAATAGTACATTTTGGGGCCTGCTCTTCATATCTGAGAGTCAAATAGAAGCATCAAATACTGCGGTTACAGCGCAATTGTAAACATTCTAATTGTTTTGCTGCTAAACTGCTAAATAGTACATTTTGGGCGTGCTCTTCATATCTGAGAGTCAAATAGAAGCGTCAAATAGTGCGCTTACAGCGCAGTTGTAAAAGTTCTTATTTTCTGGGTGCTAATCTGCTAAATAGTAAATTTTGGGGCCTGCTCTTCATATCCGAGAGTCAAATAGAAATGTTTAATTGTGCGCTTACAGCGCAGTTGTAAACATTCTAATTGTTTTGGTGCCAAACTACTAAATAGTACATTTTGGGGCCTGCTCTTCATATCTGTGAGTCAAATAGAAGCGTCAAATTCTGCGGTTACAGCGCAATTGTAAACATTCCAATTGTTTTGCTGCTAAACTGCTAAATAGTACATTTTGGGCGTGCTCTTCATATCTGCGAGTCAAATAGAAGCATCTAATAGTGCGCTTACAGCGCAATTGTAAACATTCTTATTTTCTGTGTGCTAAACTGCTAAATAGTACATTTGTGGCCTACACTTCATATCTGAGAATAAAATAGAAGCGTCTAATAGTGCGCTTACAGCGCAGTTGCAAACATTGTTATTGTTTTGGTGTTAAAATGCTAAATAGTACATTTTGGGCGTGCTCTTCATATCTGCGAGTCAAATAGAAGCATCTAATAGTGCGCTTACAGTGCAATTGTAAACATTCTTATTTTCTGTGTGCTAAACTGCTAAATAGTACATTTGTGGCCTACACTTCATATCTGAGAGTAAAATAGAAGCGTCTAATAGTGCGCTTACAGCGCAGTTGCAAACATTGTTATTGTTTTGGTGCTAAAACGCACAAGTGAAACACCTTCCTCAGGTACAAGGAGGCGACAAAACCTTCAGCGTTATTTGGTAGGCCCGAATGCCGCTCTACGAATGGTGAGGCCAGAACAAGTACAGGCGATAGTAGATTGGATGGCTGACAGTGCCTCCAGTTCTTGCACATTGTCTCCCACCCAGCCCCCTGCTGAAAGCTCGGAGTTGGCACCTGCAGCCCATGGCCATCCGTCTTTCACCTCACCCCCTTGCAAATCAGTAAAGGAGTCTGAACCACAAGCCATGCAGAAGTCTTGTATGCTTTTTGATGACTCTGCTGGCGGGTTTCCGTGGGCCATCCACCTAGCCGTGCCCCAGAAGTGGAAGAGGTTGAGTGCACTGATGCACAACCACTTATGTGTCAGGATGTGGACATGCAAGGACCACCGCAGCATGTCTCTGATGATGACGAAACACAGGTGCCAACTACTGTGGCTTTCTGCAGTGTGCAGACCGGCAAGAAGGGCAGGGTTGAGGAGTGGGTGGAAGATGATGTGAAGGATGATGAGGTCGTAGACCCCTCATGGAATGAAGGTCATGAGAGTGACGTGTGCAGTTTGACGTGTGCACCTCTGGAGTGACAGTGGCACCAGCCTATCCGCAAACAGGATGTGGCAGCAACGCCACCACGTCCGCCACCATCCCCAAGCATTTCCACACTGTCCCATGGAAGCGTTCAGCTGTCCATCTCCCAAACACTAGAGAGAAAAGGAAGTACGCCTCTACCCACCTGCAATTCCTGGCCCTGAATGCCAGCATTTCAAAATTCGTGGCCTTTGAAATGCTGTTATTCTGTCTGGTGAAGACGGACAGTTTTAAAAACCTAATGACGGTGGCTGTCCCACAGTACGTGGTTCCCAGCCACCACTACTTTTCCAGGCGAGCCATCCCTTCCCTGCACAACCAATTGGCGGACAAAATCAGGTGTGAAATGCGCAACTCCATCTGTGGCAAGGTCCACATAACCACAGATACGTGGACCAGTAAGCACAGGCAGGGACGCTAGATCTCCCTAACTGCACACTGGGCAAATGTAGTGGCGGCTGGGCCTGATGCGGATAGCAGTTTGGCGCATGTCCTTCCGCCACCGAGGATTGCAGGGCATTTCTCTTTGCCTCCTGTTGGCTCCTCCTCCTCTACCACCACCTCATCCGGGCAGCATAACACCTTCACCATCAACTTCAGCATAGCCAGGGGGAAACAACAGCAGGCTGTTTTAAAACTCATATGTTTGGAAAACCCCACACCGTGCAGGAGCTGTGGACGGGCATGGAACAACAGACCGATGAGTGGTTGTTGCCACTGAGCCTCAAGCTCGGCCTTGTGAGGTGCGATAATGGGAGAAATCTTGTAGCAGCTCTGGGCCTAGCCGGTTTGACGCACATCCCTTGCATGGCGCATGTGCTGAATTTGGTGGTGCAGAAATTCCTGAAAAACTACCCAGATATATCAGAGCTGCTGCAGAAAGTGCAGGTCGTCTGTGCGCGCTTTCGGCGTTCTCACCCTGCTGCTGCTCGCCTGTCTGTGCTGCAGCGTACCTTCGGCCTTCCCACTCACCGCCTCATATGCGACGTGCCCACAAGGTGGAACTCCACCTTGCACATGCTGGAGAGACTATGTGAGCAGCAGCAGGCGATAGTGGAGTTTCAGATGCAGCACGCACGGGTCAGTCACTGTGCGGAACAGCACCACTTCACCACCAATGCGCTGTTTCGAGTACTCCACCAACACGGCCAGTGCCGATGACGCCGTTCTCAGCCTTACTTTCCCGCTTCTATGTCTTCTTGAAAAAATGCTGTGGGCGATGATGGAAGAGGATGTGGCACAGGAGGAAGAAGAGGAGGAAGAGGGGTCATTTCCACGGTTACCAGGCCAGTTATTCACAAGTGGCTTGGAGGGTGGGTTCCTGCACCAGCATAGGCCAGGTACACAATTGTCCAGCCAGGGCACAGTTCTGGAGGATGAGGAGGAGGATGATGAGGATGAGGAACTGTGTTCACAGCAGGGTGGCACCCAACGCAGCATCACTGGAACATGGCTTGGGGGATACGGAGGACACAGATGATACACCTCCCACAGAGGACAGCTTGTCCTTGCCTCTGGGCAGCCTGACACACATGAGCAACTACATGCTGCAGTGCCTGTGCAATGACTGCCAGGTTGCCCACATTCTAACTTGTGCTGGGTGGCCGCCCTGCTGGATCCCCGTTACAAGGACAACATGCCGTCCTTAATTCCCTCACTGGAGCGTGATCATAAGATGCGCGACTACAAGCGCACACTGGTAGAAGCGCTGCTGAGGGCATTCCCAACTGACACCAGGGGCTCAGTGGAAGCACAAGGCGAAGGCAGAGGAGGAGGAAGAGGTCGCCAACGCAGCTAGGGCACCGCCAGCACCTCAGAAGGCAGGGTTAGCATGGCTGAAATGTGGAAAAGCTTTGTCAGCATGCCACAACAACCAGCACCACCATCTGATATGGAACGTCTTAGCAGGAGGCAACATTTCAGCAACATGGTGGAACAGTACGTGTGCACACGCCTACACGTACTGACTGATGGGTCTGCCCCATTAAACTTCTGTGTCTCCAAATTGGGCACATGGCCTTAGCTTGCCCTTTATGCCTTGGATGTGCTGGCCTGCCCTGCAGCCAGTGTATTGTCTGAACATGTGTTTAGCACGGCAGGGGGCGTTATCACAGACAAGCGCAGCCGCCTGTCCACAGCCAACGTGGACAAGCTCACGTTTATTAAAATGAACCAGGCATGGATCCCACCAGACTTGTCTGTACCTTGTGCAGAATAGACATTTCTACCAGCCTCACCCAGCCATTGTTATACTCAAGTGCACTTATTCTTTGTTTTCTTTTTTTATATGTCCCAATATTTTAAATTAAAATAAAGTTTTGGCTACCTGCTCCTCTTCCTCCACCGCCGCTTCCACCTACATCACCACGGTCACTGCCTCTTCAGCCTATGGGTCACTTAGTATAAACTATGTACACAATAGCAGAGGCTTGTGAAGGCCTTTTTCTCCACGCATCAGGAGTTGAGCTCAGTTTGAACAATGGAATAGAATACCCTGCACTCCAACCCTCTCTCAAATTGATAATTCTGGTGATCCTCCTGACAGCCATGCTTTAGATTTTGATTTATGTTCTTCCAAAGCTAAAATCAAAGATTCCATCTAGTGCTATTTTATGGCTCAGCTGTATTTTTTAATGTTTATGTTATTTTAAGTGATTTCCCTATCCACATTTGTTTGCAGGGCACTTGTCCTACTCTTACCCCCATTTTACTTCATTTTGCAGCCCTCTAGCGCTTTCCAGGAGTTTTTTTAGAGGCTTTTGTGGCCAAAGGTTCGGGTCCCCATTGACTTCAATGGAGTTCGGGGTCAAGTTCGAGCACGAACCCCGACTTTTTTCAAAGTTCGGCCAAACCTGCCGGACCCGAAGATCCAGGTGTCCGCTCAACTCAAATGGTGAATAATAAAAACATATGAAATTTGTACAATTCATAATAAATTTATATAATGCTGCACATTAAAATTTTATGTTTAAAAATTATATTCTGTTACACTGAGTAGGAAGAAATTGTATCGATAAAATATGTGAATAAATATAAAGTGTATTGTTAAAATGTGGTCTGAAGGGTAAAAAGATAGATGGGTATGGGAATATGGATGAATAGGTTGCGATTATTTTCTGAGAATAAATGGATTGAATCTGCATCGTATAACAACCTCTGATTTCATGTTAATGAGTGAAGATCTAGATCGACTTTATAGATAAATTAATTTCCAAATATATTTGACTAATCAAGTTTTATAGAAAATAATACTGTTTCTCCTTAATTCGTGACATTAATCACATTAAAATTATCTTACACTGACACTTGTTGGTAAAATAAATGCATATACATAAAAATTGAATGGAACAAATGGTGCAGAGGAAATGGATAAAGGTGCATTCAATCGTTGAACATAAGTTTGCAGTGTTATTACTAATCTAAAGTTACATAGCATTTATATATGCACATTAAGCACATCAGTTATATCTTGTTCATTATTTGTTCTGAAATATAAACACATATGTTAATACAATTCTTATTTTCAGACCTTTTAGGAAATATTAGAAAATACATAGCTGCTCCACGGTGCTAGGGGTTAACGTGGACATGTGGTTGTTTTATAAAGGTGTGGGGCGTGTTGTTATTAGGGGAATACTGTGATTCTATCAAAGAAAATGGTGATGGATAATGTAATTATGTGTGAGTGCTTACAGTGTAAAAAAGCAGGAGGTGGTGGCATTAACCAAGGGTATGGGTATTAGGATAGATTGTATCACAGAGGGTTTGAGGGTGGCAATATTATAGGTGGGTGAAGTGGAAATAGTGGAAAATACATAATCCTGATGTAAAGAAAAAAGAGAAAAGAAAAGAATAACGGTATCATATAGTTAGGAGTAGGATAAACATAAGTAATAGGAGTATGGTTCTGGACAAAGGATACATGTCCTGTAGAATACAATACATATGAATAAATAATGTAAAAATAATGTATATATAA